TTGTTCTGGTCGCATTATGAGGCTAGTTGTTCAATCTCCCATCTGTATGTGGATTCATCATTGTCTCAAATGAGACTGATCACTGTTGTGTCATCTGCGAACTTCAGCAGTTTAACAGATGGATCGTTAGAGATGCAGTCATTGGTATACAGAGAGAAGTGGAGAGAGCACACAGCCTTGGGGGCCCCTGTGCTAATTGTACAAGTATTTGATGTGATTCTGCTTAGCTTCACCTGCTGCTTCCTGTTTGTTAGGAAGCTTATGATCCACTTACAAGTGTGTTCAGGTACCTGTAGCTGGTTTAGCTTAGTTAGAAGAGTGTCTGGAATGATGGTATTGAATGCTGAACTGAAGTCTACAAAGAGGACCCTTGCGTAGGTCTTTGGAGATTCAAGATGTTGTAGGATGTAGTGCAGAGCCACTTTAACAGCATCATCTGTTGATGTCTTTGCTCGGTATGCAAATTGCAAGGGGTCTAAAAGCGGGTCTATGACGGTTTTCAAGTGGGACAGCACTAGCCTTTCAAAGGTTTTCATGACTACAGATGTTAGAACAACTGGTCTGTAGTTATTCAGTTCCTTGATGGTGGGATGATAGTAGAGTGTTTGAAGCAAGAAGGAACATAGCACATCTCTAGTGATTTATTGAAGATATGGGTGAAGATGGGGGCCAATTGGTCAGCACAGACTTTTAAGCAAGAAGGAGTTATCTTGTCTGGGCCTGGAGCTTTTCCTGGCTTTTGTCTGCAAAATAGGTCTTGCACTTCCTTTTCTGTGATCACTAGGGGTTGTGAACCTAATGGGATGGGGTCAGTTGTAGGAGACTTGGCTGTTGGTACATCTGAGATGGGGGTTGTGGAGATAGGTGGCTGTAGTTTCCTTTCAAACCTGCAGTAAAACATGTTCAGGTCATCTGCCAGTTGTTGATTTCCTTCAGCTTGGGAAGGAGGTTTGCCATAGCCAGTGATATTTTTAAGAGTTTTCCACATGTTTGTTGGTTTGTTGAGAACTGATTCTTTAGCTTTTCAGAGTAGCTTCTTTTTGCTGCTCTGATCTCCCTTGTTAATACATTTCTGGCCTGATTGTACAGCATTTTATCACCTTTTCTGTAGACTTCCACTTTGGAATGACGTAGCTGCTTAAGTTTAGCTGTGAACCAAGGTTTGTTGTTACTGTATATTCACAAGTTCCTGGTCAGTACACATAAGTCTTCACAGAAGCTGACATATGAAGTTACAGTATCTGTGAGTTCATCCAGGTCTGCAGAGGTATCTTCAAAAATATTTCAATCAGTGCAGTTAAAGCAAGCCTGTAGCTTTAACTTTGCTTTCTCAGTCCAGGTCTTCACTGATTTAATTGTTGGTTTTGTGGTTTTAAGTCTTTGCCTGTAAGCAGGTACAAGGTGAATCATGCAATGATCAGAGTGTCCTACAGCTGCTTGTGGTAAAGACTGATAAGCATCTTTTAGTGTTGTGTAGCAATGGTCTAAAGTATTCTTGCCTCTAGTGGGACCATTGGCATGCTGAAAGTATTTTGGTAGCTCTTTCCTTAAATTTGCCTTGTTTAGATCTCCCAAAATAATGGGCAGTGAATCGAAGAATTTGGCTTCAGCCTCCATAATTTGGTCAGCTAGAGTTCGTAGTGCCTTGTTTACACAGGCTTGTGGTGGGACATAAACAGCAATTAGAAGAAATGAGGAAAATTCATGAGGCGAATAGTATGGTTTGCAATTGATAATTAATGTCTCTAGGTTTTTGTCATAGAATTTATATATTATATTTATATCCTGAGACCAGCTGTTATTGATATATAAGCATAAGCCTCCTCCATTCTTTTTACCAGATGTTTCTGCAAATCTGTCTGATCGTTGAATCTGAAACCCTGGGATATGCAGGCTGCTATCTTCAACTGATTCATTTAACCAGGTTTCAGAGAAGCATAGGGCTGCTGAATTGTAAAAGTCAGAATTGTATCTGTTTAAAAGGAGTATTTCATCCATCTTATTAGCAAGTGAACATACGTTGGTTAGGAAAATTAAAGGCAGAAAATTAAAGGTTTTATTTCTCCTACTCCTTAAACTATTTAAAATTCCCGCCTTTTTATCTCTCTTTCTCCGCTTCCTCCATTTGGTTGTTTTGGTAATCCCATGGCTCCGGGGAAATTGCTTCTTCCTGTGTTAGAATCTCCTTCGCGTTTGTAAAGACAGGGGGGAGGGTGCGATCACAGAAAGCTGCTCCTTAAAGAAACGTTGCTTAATTTTTAGCAGATGGTCTTGTAAGAAATCCATAGTGAGTTGTAGAGAATAATTAAAAATAAAGAAACCATTAGAGAGCATTTCACCAAGGCAGCCTTTGGCGGCGCCATCTTGGATAATGACACATATAGGAACATACTATTAAGATAAAAACAGACCTATTGGAATTTATTTTGGTGATACTGATGATTTTTAAATCCTGTGTGTTCAATTACTACCTTATTGAGTAGCATAAGGTGTCTTGAATGATTTGGCCTAATTTACGTATCTATCCAATGTGTAAAAATGCCTGACACCATCATGACTCTTCTGCTGGTAGCCTATAGCAGGGGCATCAAACTGGTGGCCCGTGGGCTGGATGCATCCTGTGCAGGCCATGCCCATCCCGGCTCCGCAAAGGCAAAAAACATCACAATATGTCACATGATTGAGTTCTAGTTCAAGTTCCGCCCGTGGTCAAGAGTGTTTGTTCCAGCCTTCTTCAGAGAAGATCTGTGATTCTGAAGGCTGGGGGAGGTCCTGCTGTTTTTGCAAGCTAGAGTGTAGTTTTCATTGTCAAAGGCATCTATGATCACAGACAATGTTACCATCAGTCATTCTTCCTGCATCAGCTAGTATGGAAAGGAGGTCTCAGCATCTTTCTGACTTGTTCTGGGAAAGACCCTTGATGAGAGTTATTGGCAAGTAAGGGAGAGTTGGGGAAAATTATGTTAATCTGTGGCTAATCTAATACTAATAGTCTTCAGAAAATTAACCCATAGTTTTTATCAAACAAATTCAGCTAAGGATTCATTTATTTAAAGTGTTTCTATAAAAAGTATGATTCTGAGTGGCATACAATAAAAAAAAAAAAAACAAGATTTCAGTGAAAAAAAAAATGCAGCAGAAAACATAGATTACTGGATTCCCCAGAGAATTTTTTTTAAAAAGATGGGTCTTTACATTGGAAGCATAATATGATTTAGGCCTCCCTGCTTTTGTGCCACAGTTGTGTTTTGGCTTGCTCCCTCTAAGACTGTTTAGGTGTTGTCAGAAAGATGAAGAAGATTTAAAGATGCGAATATGATCCGGAGGAAATACCAAAAACTTGAAACATTATTTTATAAAGAAGTGTAGATTTATTAAGCTGGAGGATGGGTACAAAAAAATTACTTTTTGGTGTTAGAAAGATCGTCTGATACTGTAGGTTTATCCTCTTATGCCATCAACAGTCCTTTTTTCTTATAAATTATGTGTTGATTAACGGATTAAATACTCTGTTTTAATAATAGATTTAAAAGGCTAAATTAAGGAAAAAGGAGGATGGAAAAAATAAAAAATAAAAACCTACAAAGGCAAACAAAAGAGGAAACTTTCTCCTTTTTCACATCTTTTTTACTATCTCTCCCTGCCCATCTTCCTGTTCTGTTTTAAAAAATAATGCTGTATATTTGTACTCAGAAATAAAAAGATGAATGCAGCATATTGGGAAACCTAGAGTAGACTCATGATAATTAGTAAAGGCAGATAATAATTAAAATGCTTAATCACCTGTGTTTTTTAAAAAATTCTCTTATGGATCATTTATTTCTTCTTCCACCACAAATGTGGAGCACCTGCTCACCAAACACACACACACACACACACACACACACACGCACACATGCGCACACACACACACACACACACACACACACACACACACACACACGTCACTGTCAGAAACCCACAGCATTCCTCTGTTGTAGAAGAGAAGCTTTGTAGCTCAGGGTTGAACTGGGGGGAGGGAGTGTTTGTCCTTGGTGCTCTCTGAGCTTTCTTGCAGACGTTTCATGACCCAACTAGGAAACAACATCAATGCCAGATGACATTAATCAATGATGGCCACATTCGTGATGTTACTTAGTTGGGCCGTGAAACATCTGCAAGGACACCACCCAGCTCAGGGAGCACCAAGGACACCATTGGCTGTTCTGCTGTGAGAGAAAACCTCCTGAGGTCAGCCTTAAGGATTTGGGTGGGAGCTGAAGGGGACCCGACCAAGATGGTGTGGTTTGTCCATCACAGCTCTCAGTCAGGCAGGTCCACAGTCTCTCTTCAGGAGATGGCACTGCCCGGAAAGGGTCTTCCCGGACTTCCACTGTGGAAGGTCCCTTGCCAACTTTGGCGGGTGCAACACCTGCGGTGCTCTCTGGATAGAGAGGCCTTCAGTCCTGCTCGCCTGGACTACTTCAGTGCACCATACAAGGGCCTGCTTCAGAAGCCCACCTGGTGTAGAAGGGAGGGTCTCAGGGCTATGGGTGTTCAGGGCTGCGACCCAATTCTGTAGGTTTTCAGGAGCAATTGAAAGAGTGAGCTCCCTCCCACCCCGTGGACTGAGAAGGAGAGCGCAGCTTGCCCTGCCTTCTCAAGGAAGGGACCCCTCCCAGCCATGGCCATGAACAGGCTGTTGTCCAAGGGCGTGTGGGCACAGAAGGTACAAGGGAGTTAACGGGAACATTGTTTTTATGGGCTTATTTGCCAGATGGGCGCATGGGCAACCACGCTTCCATGGCATTAGCTGGACTTCTGAGTCTATGAGTTAGCAAATCTTTGACTCTAAGCCAGGCTTTGGGGAAGTTGGAGGGCCTACAAATAATTGGGTAAGTGAATAAGCCCACTTGATTACCACCTGTTGGGGAGAGGGAAGGGGCCAGAAGAGGGGAGAGGCCTGGGGGCCCTGGCTTAGAGACACCCGGAGGTTTTCACTCTTCTCTGCTTTTTGGCAGAGATGATTATGGCTACAATCAACGTCTTCGTCAAAGTGATCAAAGAGAATTTTACCGCAGAGATGGCTATTCCTGGCTCTCTTGCTTTCCAGACTTTTGCGGCCCAATTTGATCATCAGGTGAAGAGGGTGGCTGGGCGATGTGAAGAGACCCTCTGTCCATCCACCAGAGCTCCCCTTGCCCTGTCCCAGGAGCTGAGAGCCAGGGGCAGCTGGGGGGGGGGGTGAGGGTTGATCATGGGCTCAGGGGTCTGCCGCTTAGATGCTGCCCGGTCCAAAGAAGAGTTGGCCGGCTGTCCTAGCTCCCCTCTGCCTGGCCGTGGGTGGGCTGGAAGAGGCATCCGGCTGTCCCCTGAAGCCCTTTGATCTTTTCTGGCTATTGACCAGACTTCGGTGCAGGCAGACATCCTCCAAATCGGATCCCCAGATCTGCCTTTGTAGCTCAATGAAGTTTGGAGGCTGGCAGACTTGTTCTGAAACTCCAGTCCTTGTTCTCATTTGGACCTATTGCTGATCAGGCTCCAGGTGCTCCATCATTGGGGTGGAGGCCTGGACTTCTGCCTGTAGTCTCTTAGAGGAAACATTGGAAGGACTGATGCCTGCTTAGAGCCTCCCCACCCCCACAGTTGTGGGGTGAAACGACACAGTTGAGCTGGGCAACAGCCTCACTGCCCATCCTCAGAGATACTTTCATTATGATGACGTCTCGTCAGTTTCTGTAACTGCCCCTTCTCTCCCCCTCCCCCCTCCCTCCCCCCTCCTCTCTCTCCAGATGAATATTTTCTATGCAAACATTCCTGGGTACCAGAAAGTAATTGTGATTCGTCTGAGGTGAGCTATTTTGGAATCAGGCTGGGACCCCGTTTGGGGGAGACAGTTGCTGGGTTGCCCCCCTCCACCTGTCCTTACACAAAAGCCCCACCCAAGGCAGCAGGCATCCCCCCTGGGGGCTCTGTGGATGGCCCAAAGCCCACAATCCTGGTGCCCTTGGGGCAGGGCTCGGGACCCAGTGAAGCAGCCTCTTCCTCCCCTTCTCTTCCCACCAGCAATGGCAGCATCAACGTGGACCACCAGGTGGTCCTGCAGGTGCCTTTCTCCAAATTCAATGCCTTCTACAATGCAGCCGTGGACAAAATCCAGACTAAGCTGCACAGCAAGGAGCAAGTTTGTTCCTCCGAGTTGAAAGGTGAGGGGACTCAGCCCCACCACAGCAGCCCTGGGTGTGGAGGGACTCACTCTGGGCTAGCTGGCCAGCAGGTGGCCAATTCCTGGCCAAGAGGCCCTGGCCTGGCTCCTGGGGGGGGGGAGTGACAGCACACCAGCAAGGTTGGGCACATGATCAAGGGGTGCGGAGAGTCTGACCTCCCCCCAATCCTGAGATGAAAGGATGAAGGCTGGAAAACTGGGCAAAAAGGGGTGGCAGAAGGGCAGCGGCGGCTCTTGGCTGCTACTACTGCAGACAGGAGAGTGAGGAGGAGGGGGCACTTCTCCCCTCCCCCCCCGATTGCCCCAGTGCCCTGGGGGAGAAAGAGGGTTAGGGTTAGGGTTAGGGTTAGGGTTAGTGGGGGAGAGGGGAGGGAAAGAGTTCCTGGGGGCTGGTTGACATGCAATATCCCAAGTCTGGGAAAAGCCCCTTTCCGGAGGCAGCTTCCTCTGTTCACTTCTCCTCCTGGCCCTTTGATTAGATTGGGGCCCTTAAAAGAACCTATTTTCCAACAGTAACCAGAGCTTTTAATAATGTGATAACCGGATCTCTTTCAGGGAAGCTGTGTTTCAACTCGAGTGACTCTGTGGTGATTCAAGTGCCTCTCAGTCCTCAAGGTGAGAGTGGGTGCATGCAATGTTTGTGTGTGCATCAGGGGTGAAATCCAGCAGGTTCTGACAGGTTTTGGAGAACAGGTAGCGGAAATTTTGAGTAGTTCAGAGAACCATCAAATACCACCTCTGGCTGGCCCCAGAGTGTGGAGGGAATGGAGATTTTGCAATATCCTTCTCCCAGGAGTGGGGACGGAATGGAGATTTTGCAATATCCTTCTCCCAGGAGTGGGGAGGGGATGGAAATTTTGCAGTATCCTTACCATGCCACACCCACCAAGCCACACCATAACCAAGCCACGCCATAACCAAGCCATGCCCACAGAACCGGTAGTAAAAAAAATTGGATTTCACCACTGGCGTGCATGTGTGCGTCTGTGAGAGAGAGAGAGAGTGTGTGTGTGTGCCAAGGGTGATGCCTGCTGCGCAGGTAACCTTCTTGGGCACGGAGGGAGAAACTACTGAAGGGAAAGAAGGCAGGCCCTTCTGCTGGAGAGCGCATTTTAACCGTGGGTGAGTGAAGGAAGCAGGCAAGGGCCAAGACGGACCTGGAGCCATGCCAGAGGTGGGGGAGGGGCTGTGTGGCATTTCCGGGCCAAAACCAGCAGCAGAGGCTGACTGGACCCTGGAGTCCCAGAAGACTGCAATGGGGGTGCGCCGGTCCTTGGCTGACTCAGCTCCTTTCCTCCTGCCTGCTAGACTTATCCAAAATCTGCAGAAATGACTCTGTGGTCACGCAAGAGCTGCAGCCGTATTACCTGGCCCGAAACATTAGCAACCAGCTGCAGTGCATCTCTAACTGCAGCTTTTTCCACCCGGATCCCTTCCGCTGTGACAAGGGAAGCTGTTACATCCAGGCAGACGGGCCAAACTGCTAGTGAGTAGAGTGGGGAAGGGCAGGTCAGAGGCAGGTGGGCCCCTCTGCTCAGTCACTACTCAACCAATGGAGCTTCCTTTGGAAACCCCAGCATGATATTCAGAGCCCCTGGCCCTTCATCCCAAGGGAACAGCAGAGGAAGGGCCCCAGGGCCAGCAGAGTGGACTCCAGACCCTGCTCTCGGACCCCGCCTGGGCTTGAGGGCGGAAGGGCCTGGGACAGTGGGCTGGTTGTGGGAGGGGGAGACAGAGCCACCCATGAGACTTTGAAGGATGTGGCTGCTCTGAGCATCTGTTGCCAAAGCAGCCATGGAGAGCGTTCCTTGCAGAGCTCCACCCAGCTTCTTCCTGGTACAGTGCCCCGGGAGCAAGGCGGGGCCCTCCTCTTGGTCTCATGGCCAGGCATGGCCCCCCTTCCCAGTGCCCCATTCTCATTCAGAGTTTGAAAGGCAATATAGATAGAACTAAAACCTCCCAGTTAGAGAAAGGTGGCCCTCCACTCTCCAGCACCTGCCCCACAGCCCTGGGATTCTGTCCTTCTCTTTCAGCTGCCAGCAGTCGGATGCCTACTGGTACACTGGCCGCCACTGTGATCAGAGCATCAGCAAGGTGGGGGTGGCCGTGGGGGTGGCCCTGGGCCTGGCAGTCCTGCTCCTCCTCATTCTGCTCCTGGCCGCCCTCCTCTGCTGGCAGTGCAGACGCCGAAGGAAAGACCACAGGTACATTGGTGGGGCCTCCCGGGTGACGGTGGCCCTGTCCTCTGGGCTGCTGCCGAAGTTGGCTCATTCCCCAGCCAGGCCTGGAGGGGCATTTCCTGTTTGGAGCTCGGGAAGCTCTTCTCTAGCCTCTCCCAGCTGCCTGGCGAGTCTTCCGCCCCGTGCCTGCCTGGTGACAAGGGCCTGGTTTGCGGGTGGCGTGTTTGTTCTGGGCAGGTTCCTCAAGGCAACCCTTTCTATGGGGCGATTTGCCAACAGCTTAAAACTGCAGTCCAAACAGAAACAGCAAACAATTGGAAGGTCAAGTCGCAGGCATGAAACTAGCCCAAAGGTTCCCCCTGTGAAACAGGGACCTCTTCATCAGAGAGCCGTCTACTGGTTTTGAGTATGGAGTACCTCCAAGTACAGCCCTTTACAAAGGGAAACACTGCAGAAAAGCAGGCACCACCCCTCGCACTCAGATTTAATTCAGATATTTGAAGATCCCTGATTAAAACTACTCTGAAGTCCATTCCAATTTCCTCCCATGGCCTCGTTGGCTTTGCCACCAGTTGCAGCAGTCCAGGGGGTTTTCCTGGTCGCTTCTTCATTGTGGTGCAGATGGTGCAACTTTGCACATAACTGTCCACATCTTTCTTTATGCCGGGCCACCAGAATTGCCTCCGTGCTAAGCGTAAAGTCTTTAGGAACCCGAAGTGGCCCACTGATTTGATGTCGTGGCTCCTCTGGAGGACGAGGCTGTGTAGGGACTCTGGAACGTAGAGTTTTGTCCCCTTCCATACTAGGCCACTCCTTTTTGTCAAGATGTGTTGGTTGTCACGGAACCAGGGTCTGCTAGCAGTTTGGTTTTGAGCTTCATGGTTAGATCGCTTGCAGATTGGTCTTGCTGGTCGCTGCATTGTTGTCTGGTGGTCACTTGGGCAGCTGTTTGGGTAGGGGGGATGATGGCGTCTACTACCTCCTCCCGTTCGCATTTGTACTGGGACAATTTGCTTATCCAGGCTTGTTCTGAAAAAGTGAACTAAGAGCCATTCTGGAAAGGGGATATCCTTCCCACGACTGGTCTACAGGCCCTGTTTTCTCCAAGGCGGGTTGGCCTTGGAGAGGGACCGGCCAAAAGTCCCCCGCCAGTTTTTACACCTAAGGCGGGACTAGAGCTCCCAGTTGCCTGGTTTCTAGCCCAGCCCTGAAAGGCTGAAAACAGCAAGGGGCATTCAGCAGCCTCTACTAACCCAGAGAGGCTTGTCCCGAAGGCGGTTCTGGAGCAGTCATGGAGAAAGCAGAGCTGGAGTGGGCCTTGAAAGGGGGCTGTCCTGCTGGAAGGGTTGGCACTACAGTGCCCAGCACCGCTTGCCAGGGAATGCTGCTTGCCTTTATGGGCGGCTCCGGAGGTGGCTCGCTGTTGTGGCCCGTCAGCGGTCTGTGCAGTTAGTAGCTGATTCTGACAGCGAGGAGGCTGGTGTGATGCTGCGCCAGCAGCCTGTGCAGCTGGCACTCGAGTCGGACAATGAGGAGGCTGGAGAAGATGTGATGCCAGAGGCAGGGATTCAGTCAGGGCCTTCAGAACCTCCAGAAGCTCCCATAAGTGAAGAGGAAGAAGAGGAGGAGCCTCTTCTCGATGCACGAGCGCGCAGAGCTGCGAAAAGGCAGGAGTGGCTCCTCAGGAGGAGGTCTCCTCGAGAGTAAGGCTTGGGGCTAATTGGCCACTCCCCTAGCCTATTTAAGGAAGGATGACGACTGATGCAATTTGCAGGAAAGAACTTCATTCAAATTCCTTCGCATCTTGATTCCAGAAAACATTTGATTTGGCTCATTTCTCTCATCAGTTTTCCTGCAAATTGTTTCTGGGCATTCTGCCAACCACAGTAAGATTATGGTTATCTGAAATACTGTGCCTCAGAACTGAGTTATTATTCTTTGAATTCTTGTTGGCTGTTAATGAAGTTAAATTAACAATCCTTGTTCAGAAGAGGCTGATTTATTGTACTTGTGTTCGAACAACTACTAAGAAAGCTCATTAGTAGTCTTTAATTAGTAAATTAAAGTTTTATGGACTTTGTGTGTGCTGCATTTTTTGGGTCCGTAACTGGGGCAGAACACTTGCCCAGGGCCAGGTTGGGAGCAGCTGCCCGTGCCTCCCCACACAATGAGGGCAGAGGAAGCCAGGACCCAGCCGCAGCTCCCAGCCCTGGCACTGTCAAACATCCAAGATGGCCAGGGAAGGCCTCACCAGGTGGCACCTGTGCCAAGGCAGGCTGTGCTGCATTTGGGGTTCCGAGTTCAAATGGTGCAGCCGCAGAGGATTCCCTCCTCTTGTGTTACTGTGGGGAGGGAGGAGCCCCTCTTTCCTGGTGGAACATCTGCTGGGGGAGCAGGCTCAGTCCGGAGTCCTCTTGCCGGCCAGTCCGGGGGTCAGAGCTTGGGTCTCCCTGACCGCCTTTCCTACTCTCTCCAGGCAGTTGTATTCAAACCCCAACGAGGAGAAATGGTATGAGAATGATTCGGACTGGGCAGCCAGGCCTCAGGGCCTCTCCCCACAGAGCCCCCTAGCCCAGCAACAGCGGCCAGGTAGGTCCTGCCAGGAGCCTCTCTGGAAGAGGGATCCTGGTTTCTTCCTAAGACTGTCCAAGGGCTCCTGACCATCTGAGAAGGGCAAAGATGTGCCCCACAGCTGGATGCCTCTCTGGCAGAAGGACCTTCGTCTCACTGCGCTCTCTCCACTCTCTCCCTGCAGCCCCCTCTGCCAGCACCAGCAGGGAAGATGCCTGCCCCACGCCCACCCAGGGCAGCTTCCAGCCTCGGCTCGACCAAGTGGACACCTCTCTCCAGGTCCAGAAGGGGGAGGGGCATCTGGGTGGGGACCCTCCCTGGGAGACACAAGGATGGGAGGGAGGGAGGCAGGAGGAGCAGTCACCTTTCCAGGGAACCCAGAACAAAGCGGCTGGGGGAGGGGGCAGAGGGGGGTGGCAGGGAACACCAGGAAGGACAGGTCCTAGAGGGTGGGGAGGGAGAGGGCCAACTGCCCCTATCCCACATGGGGCTGCAAACACCAGGACAATTAGGCAGGGCTCCTACAGGGTTTCCCTGGGCCCCCCTCTGTCTCTGGGGGCCGGGAAAGCTGGCTTGCCCTCCTGATGCTCTTTCCCCCCATTGCCTTTTCCTTCCTTCCTTCTGCAGGCACACATTGCTCGACCCCAGATAACCCGGCTCTGAAGACGCCTTGGAAGGCCAGATTGGACCAAAGCAGCTTTGATGGGCTGCTCGCCCCAAGGGTCCTGGCCCACCCCTGAACTGGGGGCTGGGGCGCCTTGGAGCAGCTCCTGAGGCCGTGGGAGGAGGAGGAGCCTCTGTGTGACTTCTGCTACGCCTGGATGCTGAAATGCACTTGGGACGCTTCTGCCGGCAGCACCCTCACCCCCGTCGGAGTTTACGAAGATATGGGGCCTGCGGGGTCAAGAAACTGCTGCCTGTGCTGCCCCCTCGCCCGTGACTCACACGCTGTCTCTGCAGGCGGTGACGGTGACCCTGAGCACATCCATACCCCCCCCCCCCAGGCCATGCAAGCCCCATGAATCTGCTATGGGGGTTGATGATGAGGGGGGAGGGTCGTTTTGGCCCTGGACACCGACCGGCTCACCTCAGGCTCAGAGCCCTTTTGGTGGAGGGGGTGCATCTTGCCGGCAATTGTTTGGCTCCGTGCTGTGCCATGACCTCCACCAGCCCCACCCGCTCCGGCCTTGTGCTTTGCCTGCCTTTATGGGTAATAAAAGCAGTTAACGCAACAGCCTCGTCTGGGTCTCTTGTGGGCAGGAGGGGGGGCAGCAGCTCAGCCGCCTCTTGTTGGGCCAGCAACTGGTGCTGAGTGCGGAGGGGGTGGGCGGGGGGGCTTGGACCACGAACCTCTGCACCGAGATTCCTGTTTGGCAAACGAGGGCTACACCCACCTCCTCCTCCTGCTGGAGGGCTGCTCCCCGCCCCAGCTGGAGTTCCTGCCACAGCTCCGGCTGCTGGTGGGGGCTGAAACGCAAAGCTCCAAAGTGGCGGGGGGGGGGGGTCTCAGGGCAACCTCTTCTCTTGCCCTCCCCGTGTCTGTGGGGAGTCCTCCCTGCCTGCTGGCGAGAGGGAGGGCATCTGGCCCTTTCGAATCCCCCAGCCCAAGGGGTTCACTGCTCTCAGAGCGGAGTCTCCGGCTGCTGCGGGGGTCTTCTCGGCTCAGGAGGAGCTCCGGCGCAGGCCCTCTAGCGGCGTCCTGGAGAGAGGAGACGCTAAACCTCCAAGCCGAGGAGAGAGCACAGCGCCCCCTGCCGGCGGCACTGAGCAAAACTGGAGAAGTGAAAGGCAGCTTTTCAGAGCGTGGGTCACTTTGGCTCTTCCAAGAGTCCCTTGGAAACAGCACTCCGGGGAAGAGCGTTTTTGAAATGCTGTTGATATGGAGGAAGAGTGTGGCACAATGAAGAGGTCACGCAATGCAGCGTGCGAATTGAGGGCACTTGCTTGATTCCCTGCGGCAGAGGGAAGTGAGTGGGCAGCTCGCTAGTCTCGTCCCTTTAATGACATGCCCTGTTCCTTGAGAAGAGCGGGAGGAGTTTGTCCCCATGCAGATTCACTGGTCCCAAACAGCAGGTCTGGGATCCGGCCGTTATCTGCGGTTCAAATCCTTAAGGGCTGAAATCGGAGGAAGCTCCTCAGACACTGAAGCACCCATAACAACCATGAACCGAGAGGAGGCAGAGATTCTCCTTCACCCTAAAGACACCTGAAGGCTGCCCTCCTACCTCCCCCAATTGCTGCTTTGCTGTCCCCCCACCACACTTCTAGCCTTTGCTGTCTCAATATGGCCTCCCCACAGCCCTTCCTCCAACCTCTCCCTTTCCGGTCGGGAACCCAGGGCTGCCAGTGGGCTAGGAAGCACCAGACGGCACCCTGTGACCTGATCTCTGGGCTGGTGGACTCCGCAGCCTCCTTGATCATCTGCCTGACCAGTGAGGAGGTCAGAGTGGCAGGTCGGTCATATCCCAGGTCTTCCGCTTTTGCGAAGATGGGAACGTTTGCCATCCTATCTATGTAAATGCTATCTATGTGAATGATTTTAAATTGGGTGTTTTAAATTTTGGGTTTTAAATTCGGGCCGAAATTGTTTAATACTTTTAACTATTTTAAAACTGTTGTTTGTATCTTGTGTTTTTAATTGGCTGTACACCGCCCCGAGTCCTTCAGGAGAAGGGCGGTATATAAATTAAATAGCGGGCCTGGTAGATCAGCAGACTAAAAAGCATTGTGATTAACACCAGCTGTCTGCAATTACTGTAAGTTCGAATCTCACCAGGCTCAAGGTTGACTCAGCCTTCCATCCTTTCTAAGGTAGGTTAAATGAGGACCCAGTTTGTGGGAGCAATAAGCTGACTTTGTATAAATGTACAAAAGGATGAAGGTTATTGCTTAACGAGTCTCCGGAGAAGGGCGGCATATAAATCAATTTTTTTTAAAAAAATAAAAAAATAAAAATAAATAAATTATAAATAAATAAATCCTCCTTTCCCTTGGGGGCTCTCAACAGCCCTCCAGGAATCCAAGAGTGGTTCTGGGATCATCTCTACTGGCTCTGTCAGTAACTGAGAGGCGATTTGTTCAACATTTCAATACATTTGAAATCTCTAAGTCCTTTTTTACCCTCTCCTGGTCTGCCTGCAACTCCCTCTTCCCTCCCCCTGGTGGCAAAGCGAGCCAGGACCGGGAGGGCCTTTTCACTGTGGTTCAAATGGAAATGGCCGCCAAAGGCAGGAAAGGGGGAGCTGGGCTGGGATTGGCCACTTGCACTAGACTAGCCGCAGCTTCTGGTTGGTCTTCAAGGGCAACACCTTACGGCAGTCCAGCGGTGAGGTGACCAAGACACGAGTGACTGTCTGAAGGGCCACCCTGCCAGGAGCTGTGAGTGGGCCCCGGCCTTGCAGGTGGAAGACTGGAGTGGAATATCCCTGGAACCAGGGCCTGGGGGCCAGAGAACAAAGCCATTTTCTGGTCATCAGGATACATAAGGGATGCCGAGACTCTAAGAAGAGGGCAGAGAAGAGCAAGAAAGAAGATTAGGGGGCTGGAGGCTAAGACATACAATGGGTATCTAGGGAGATTCTCAGTCATCCAGGCCATGGTTATCTCAAAGTTGCTTTTTCAAAACGTCTTCAAACCTTCAACGCGGCCTGGGAGAGGCATTGGCTCGCGGCATTCAGGGCACCGCAGCTCCTGCTTTGACCCACCTAGTAGCTTCTTCAGACAGTCCTGGCAGTAGCTGTGGAGGCAGGGTAAGATTTTGGGCTGGCAGTAATGCCCCAGACAAATGGTGCAAGTCAGGAAGCTGCTGGAAAGGGTCTCCCAGAGGGAAGATGCTTTGGCAGCCATCTGGCCAGGGAAGGGAACAAATGGTCTTTCCTGATAGCCAAGCCAGGACAAGCCGGGTCTTGGGGGCCGCGGAGGCCTTTCCTGTTTGGAGGGTCCCCTGCGAGGGCGCCAAGGGTTGTTTCAAGGGAGGCCTGGAAGGCCTGGGGGGAGTCTGCTTGCTTTGAGGAGGGGCTTTGGCGCTTTGGGGCAATAAGAAAAAACCAGCCACTCTTGAAAGGCTGGCTGGCAGTCACTCAGCATGGGCTCATTCCATCCCATCCACTCCGATTTTTACACCAACCCAGGCTCTCTCTTCAATGCCAGAGCCTGGCCCATTGTGTGTGTGCGTGTGCAGAGATTCAGGCGGGGTGCCTGGTAAAAGGGGCTAGTCAGAAAAGGCCACCCAGACTTCCTCAGGGAGATTGCTGCCTCCTTGCAGGGCCCCTTCAGCTGCACAGGGGTTAACCTGTATGCAGGGGGGTGTGTGTGAGATGACAGGAGTCCTCACTTCCTGGCAGGGCCACAGGTAGACTTTTGACTCAGTTGTCCCTTCTGAGGGCAGCTCTCGCTGGAGGGCGCTGGGGAAAGGAGGGGGGGAGGGCCAAGTCCACTGACTGTTTTGGGGGGGGCACAGCTGCTCTGACTCTCGCTCCCCGTCCCACTTCCTACTCCTGGGCCCGAGGACAGGAGCGCTTGGGAATGGAGGAGTGGTGTAAAAGCCGGAATGGATGGGATGGAATGAGCCCACGCTGAGTGGCTGCCAGCGTTTCAAGAGTAGCTGGTCTTTTCTTATTGCCCCAAAGTGCCCACCTCCTCAAAGAAAGCAGGCTCCCCCCAGGCGTTCCAGGGCTCCTTAGAAACAGCCCTTGGCTCCCTCGCAGGGGACCCTCCTCTGGAAGACCCCCGGAGCAACCCAAGCAGGAAAGGCCTCCGCAGCCCCCAAGACCCTTGTCCTGGCTTGGCTGTCAGGAAAGGCCATTTGAGGCAAGGCGGCTGTGGGGGAAGCTGGGAGCCAGATAGGTTGGGGGAGACTCTGAGCCACTCAGAGGGTAAGAGTGGAGAAGCGCTCTCCCCCTCCCGGCTATGGGCTCTGTTCCCTTCCAGGTTTTGCGTGTGTCCCAGGGCAGCTTCTTTTGGTTTTGTTTCTGCTTCCACAAAGTCTGTGGTTTGCAGCAGTGGCAGCTCTCTGGGTTCCCCCACTGGCTTCCCCACAAGGTGAGAAGAGGAGGTGCCCTCCAGCCCAAGGTGTGCCCCATATCTTCTCCAGACCAGGTAGGAACCTGGCAGCCCTGGCCGTCTCTCAGTCTTCCGCCGCAGGGGAGGTTGCACCCAGGGTGGATTTGATTTAAATCGAGTCGATTTTTTTTTTAAAATTTGATTTATATGCCGCCCTTCTCCAGAGACTCAGGGCGGCTTACAATGTGCTCAGCAATAGCCTTTAAATCATGATTTAAATCACCAGTAAAAAGACTTGATTTAAATCAACTCGATTTAAATCATAATTTTTAAAGAGCAACTGTCATCTCTGCTACTCCTTTGACCCACTGTTTTTCTTTTCACTGTTGAAAAGAATATACAGTCTTTTTTTTAAAATTTGATTTATATGCCGCCCTTCTCCGGAGACTCAGGGCGGTTTACAATGCGTTAAGCAATAGCCTTCATCCTTTTGTACATTTATACAAAGTCAGCTTATTGCTCCCACAAACCGGGTCCTCATTTAACCTACCTTGGAAGGATGGAAGGCTGAGTCAACCTTGAGCCTGGTGAGATTCGAACCTGCAGTAATTGCAGTAATTGCAGGCAGCTGGTCTTAATAACAGGGTGCTTTAGACCTCTGTACTACCAAGGCTCTTAGACCACTGTACTACCAAGGCTCGTCTTGTGCTACATAACTAAGCTCCATTTCATGCTGAATAAACTAAATTATTTATGTATCTTAAATAGAAAACTATCTTACGATAGATTTTTACCCCAAAAGTTTTTTATTAAAATAAATTCAATAAAAATCAAAAAAATCCGATTTAAATAAAAAAAAATCCGATTTAAATTAAAAAAAATCCGATTTAAATAAAAAAAATCTGATTTTTTTGATTTTTTTTAAAAAAAACATTGATTTTTATCCACCCTGGTTGCACCTTTGGAGACTCAGAGCCCCGCTGGCTGCTGGCCAAGGTCCCCGGCAGGGAAGACTTCTCCCTGCCTTACCATGGGGACCCTCTTGGTTTAGGGTCTCCTGCTCGAGCAGGGGGCTGGATCAGAAGACCTCCAAGGTCCCTTCCAACTCTGTTATTCTGTGGGTGGGGGAAGCGTTGGGGGCAGGTCCTACGGCCATGCTGGGAGTTCCTGAAGGGGAAGGGGCCTCCCTGAGTCAGCCAGAAGGGGCTTCCACTTGCAAGAAGAGCTGGTTTCCTGGGACAGCAAGGGCCCCTGACCGCTCAAGCTCCTGACCTTTAGCTCCCTCTCCCTGGGGCTCAAACCAGGGTGGGTCCCAGAGCCCCTCTGCTTCATGGCCCCACAAGGCTCCCCAGGGCACCGCTAGAGGAGCAGGCCAGGGGTGGGTGTCTGCTTGGACCTGGTTCCACCACTCTGTCCTTCCCTTCCAGGTGCAGGCCAAGGTGAGCTGGGCCTTCATCCCTGCTTCTCTGGACAGAAGGTGGCCAGATGGCTGCCAAAGCATCTTCCCTCTGGGAGAACCTTTCCAGCAGCTTCCTGACTTGCACCATTTGTCTGGGGCACTATTGTCAGCCCAAAATCTTACCCTGCCTCCACAGTTACTGCCAGGACTGTCTGAAGAAACTGCTAGGTGGGTCAAAGCGGGAACTGCGGTGCCCTGAATGCCGTGAGCCGGTGCCTCTCCCAGCTGGCATTGAAGGTTTAAAGACCAACTTCTTTATCAATGGCTTCCTGGACTTGGTACCTCCGGTTGAGAAGGCCAGGGCCACCTGCAGCCTGTGCCCGCTCATTGGGCAAGATGCCAGCTCTGTCGCTGTGTCTCACTGCATCGATTGTGCTGACCATCTGTGTCAGGCCTGTGCCCTTGGGCACCGTTGCTCCCGACTTACCCACAGCCATCTCGTGGTAGACATGGAGGCTTACCGTTCTGGGAAGTACAATGAGGAGGTCCGGAAACGTCAGGCCTCACGCTGCAAAGAGCACAAGGACGAAGACTTGCAGTATTTCTGCATTCCCTGCGCTGCTGCCCTCTGCCGAGAGTGTCGTCTTGGCCCTCACCTAGAGCACCCATCCCTGCCCCTGTCGGAGGCCGCAAAAGCCCGCCGTCCCGTCATCACAGGCCTCTTGGCTGGGGTGGAGGAGAAGATGCAGCTCATCGCCAAGGGAAAGGCTGACCTAGAGAACGAGATAAAGGAGATGGAGGTGTGGAACATGAACATTCATAGCGTGATAGAGCAGACGTGTGCCAAGGCCATGGAACAGTTGCTCAACCACAAGGGAAAGGTCCTGGGCCAACTTTCTGGCTACTTGGAGGAGCAGAAGGAGGCCTCTCGGCTGCTGCTTTCTGAGCTAGGGTTCCAGGAGCAGGTGGCCTCTACCACAGTGACCTTCACCCAGAAGGTGCTGAATCTGGGTCAAGAGGAGGAGATCGTGTCCTTGGAGCAGATGATCTCGGAGAGGCTGAGGCAGCTGCAGAGCTTCTCATGGGAGACCCTCGCCATGCAGGTCCCCAAGCTCCGCATCCAGCCAGACCTCCTCTGCGGCTGCAACCTGTTCCACCTGGAATTTCATGAGAAGGCCACAGCAACCACAGAGTGCAACGTGGGGAACTCCACCAAACTGGCTAAGAAGAAAGCAAAGCAGAGGCAGAAGCAGCCCCAGGGAGCAGAAGGGGGCGAGGCCTCCAGACAGGAAAAGGCCCCAAATGGGGAAAGCTCTGGGCTGGTGGAAGTTGGTGGGCTTCCTTCCTCCAATGGGCCAGAGGTCCCCCGCTTGATCCCGAAGCCTGTCTTTTTCTGCAGTTTCTGGGGGAAAGTCCCAAGTGACAAGAAGCAGCCACAAATCACGGGTTTGTGCCCACTTGGCTCCAGCGAAATCCTCATGGCCGATGAGCAGAACAAGAAGTTGAAGCGCTTCTCTCTGCAGGGCGAGTTCAAGGGCACAATTCCAGTGCCGAGCAATGTGGCCCCGTTCAGCGTGGCTGCCGTGGGTAACAAGGTGGTCTTCACCGCTGGATCTCAGCTCTATGTTTTAAATGAAACAGGGGGGATTATATGGCAAAAGGCACTCAAGGGGGGCCAGGCCAGCCACGCAGTGACCACCTGTGACGGGAACTGCGTGGTCGTGTCTGTGGAAGGACATCTGGAGGTGTTCAACATGAAAGGACAACTCTTGGAGAAGATTGTGCCAGAGGGCTCTCACGACAGGTGCCTGGTATTCCTGGGCAGATGGAAAGAGGGATTTGTGGCATCTGACTGGTACCGACATAGTGTGGTGCTGCTTGCCAGGAATGGGGATCTGGTGACCGAATTCCAGGAAGGGCAGTTGAGGGAGTCTCAACCGGGCAGCGTCTGTGTTGATGCCCCCGGGATCGTCTATGTGGTACTTCAGGAGCTGAACAAGGTTGTGGCCTTTTCAGAGGCCGGGGAGGAGCTGGGATCTTTTCTCACAGCAGAGAACAACATCTTCAAGCCACGAATGGTCACCATTGCCGGGGACGGACATTTTGTGGTAGCCCTCACCAATGGCACTGTCCATGTCTTTAAGATCAAGTACCAGGGCAAGTGAATGGGGAGCAGGCCCTGGGGATGGGGCCAGGAGGGGGATGGGGGGGGCACTGCACGTCTGCAGGGTTTCAGATGGGAGCAGAAACTCTTTGGCAGTGGGTTGGCTCTAAAACCTGTGTGTGTGTGTGGAGGGGTGTTCAGGCCCCCAGGTAACCCATCACTGTGTGAAGGGCTGTGTCTCCAGAAGGCTGGGCCTCTCCCACTGCCCCAGTCCTGCCTAGGAATACTGAGGGTGGACAGAAATGGGTGGCATGAATTTTGCTCTTGGAGAGGCCAGCTGGCCAGAGGGCGGGGTGTCTTCTATGGGCAGGAGATGGCGAGGTGCCACAGCAACCACAAGAGAGGAGGTTGGCTGGCTGAAAGAACACTGGGCGCTCCTGGCAAAGGCCTCCTTCTCCACTCTAAGAGGCAGTTAGCAAGGGAGGAGAGATGGTGACTGGAGAGCTTCAGGCCTCTCAGGAGAAAAGGCTCTGAACGTTTGGCGCCCAGCGAATGTAAACTGGGCTGCTAGAATCTGGGCTGCATATCTCTAGGTCAGCTGCCTGGGATGCCTCCCCGCGCCCCCCCTCCCCCCATGTTTCTGCTCCTCCTGAGGTCTATAGGCATCTTTAACCAGGGAGGGAGAACTTGCCTGGGCTTCTGTGCTAGTGCAGTCACTTAGGGTGCATTGGCATTAAGCTAATGGGGGGGGGGGAGCTTTGTTGCATTCATCCTGGCGGGCTTCTCATGAGTAGTCCAGATTAGAGAAAGCACAAGGACAGGTGTTTCTCGTGATGAGAGAGCAGTGAACAAAAGCCTGCCATCTCTTTTATTAGTTATCAAAATACAGTGTCATCAGAAGGCGTTATTATGGCTACACATCTCATATTACATGCATGAAGAAGAAAAGCATCCATATATTCTCCATATAGGTTTCACATTCTACCAATTACAGTAAATCACGTGAATTCTAGGAAAGCGAAAGTTAAGGAAAAACTAAACTCAATTCTCCCAGCTTCTGCCTTCTGCTAGCAGAGAGGCCCATCTCCCCGTCTCCCCGCTATCAGAGATTACCTCAGCCCTCAGGAATGTAGCACAAGGAGATGTCTCTGCCTTTGCAAATACAGTCTATGTTCTGAACAAAGAGAGAACGAATAGGGCCCTTCAGAGAGTATCCAGCTGAACCCGCTTTTTCCACTTAGATTATTTCGGTGCTAAGCTCCATACACGTGTCCAACCAGTTAAACTGGTCTATACATGTACTATGGCCACCGCATTCCCACAGAGCTTAATATGCTTGTTGCCTGCCTTTAGCCCTCTGTGCCAGCAATGCTGCAAACATGACTCTGTGGGGATGCCTTAAGGGGTTTCAGAATGAGTTACCTGGTGTTCCTCTTTCAAATGTTTGGGAAAATATTTGATTTGCCTTTTAACTGTAATTTCTATTAGCCTTTACTCAGCCATTGTAGCTAAGAAAGGCTGTGGAAACATGAGGTCAGAGGTTTCCAAGAGCAAAATATTGTCACATGAATGATTGGTTGGCAACTCTGCAACAATGGAGCTGGCAGCAGAGAGATGTGGGCAACGGGTAGGCCAAGAAGGGTCTTGGCGGTGACTGTGTATTGGCTGTGTGCGTATCTCCTTCTGTAGCCACCAGAGGGCACATTTCTCTAAACTTTGGGATTCTCTGAAGCTGTGGGTTGAAGTTGGGGTTCGGCTCTGTCTGTGGGGCTGGGCTTCTGTTTCCAAGCCATCTTTTCAGAGGGCAGGTAGGGGGTTCCCAGCAGCAAAGGAGAGCCCCCCTGTCAGGAGAACCTGTGAGCCAAGTCACTTTGGCCACACTAATTTGGGACACTATGTCATGTTGCTGACATTGCAGGGAAGAATGGGGAGGGCTGGTCAAAGGTCATCCCAGTAAGATTAGATTAACAGAGTTGGAAGCGACCTTGTAGGTCATCTAGTCCACCCCCATCCCCCTGCCCAAGCAGGAGACCCTACACTGGGTGTCAGCTACTGCAGCTCCAGAGGCGCATGCGACTCTTTCGTCCTCTTGCTGTGACTCCCCATCGGCTGAACCCACCACTAGCTGGCCCCACCCCCTGCCCTCCCCTTCCAGTCACTCGTGTCATGTGACTGGGTGGGAGTGAGTGATGTTGAGTTGGCCTCTGTGGCTCCCTGTGTTTTCTTTTCTGTGGGAAATGGGTCCAAATAGCTCTTTGAGTGTTTAAGGTTGCAGACCCCTGCCCTCCACCATTTCCGACAAATGGCAGTCCAGTCTCTTCTTGAAAGCCTCCAGTGATGAAGCTCCCACAACTTCTGAAGGCAACTTCTCTTCCTTTGGTTGATTATTCTGTCAGAAAATTTCTCCTTATTTCTAGGTTGAATCTTTCATTCATTAGTTTCCATCTATTATTCCTTGTCTGGCCTTCAGGTACCTTGGAAAATAGCTTGACCCCTTCCTCTCTGTGGCAGCCCCTCAAATATTGGAACACTGCTATCATGTCTCCCCTGGTCCTTCTCTTCACTAGACTAGCCATGACCAGTTCCTGCAACCGTTCTTCATATGTTTTAGTCTCCAGTCCCCTCATCATCCTGGTTGCTCTTCTCTGCACTTTTTCTAGAGTCTCAACATCTTTTTATAGTGTTGTGACCAAAGCTGAATGCAGTATTCTAGGTGTGGTCCTACTCAGGCTTTATAGAATGGTAGTAGTACCTCACTTGATCTTTTTTTTATAATACAAATGTTTTTTATTTTTATAATCAAACATACAAACAATACATAATCAATCATTGAATATATCTTCTAATACATCTTTTATATCTTCTTCTTCTTCTTACTTCTCTATTAATACATTTGCCTTTCTTTTTATTTTATTAAAAATTATAAAACAATTTTATCCCCAGCACCCCTCAACCCCCCAAAGCTGGATGCAGTATTCTAGGTGTGGTCTTACTCAGGCTTTATAGAATGGTAGTAGTACCTCACTTGATCTTGATTGTATCCCTCTGTTAATGCAATTTAGGATTGCATTGGCTTTTTTGGCTGCCGCTGCACACTATTGGCTCATATTTAGCTGGTTGTCCACTCAGATGCCAAGATCCCTTTCACAGTTACTGCTGTTAAGCTGGTTTCATCCAACCTATATTTGTACTTTTCGTTTTTCTTGCCTAAGTGTAAGATTTTACTTTTCTCTACATTGAATTTCATTTTGTTAGATAGGGCCCAGTGTTCAAGTCTGTCAAGATCCATCTGGATCTTGAGCCTATCTTCTAGGGTGTTAGCTATTCCTGCCAGCTTAGTATCATCTGCAAATTTGGTAAATTCCCCTTCTATTCCCTCATCTAAGTCATTTATGAAGATATTGAAGAGTACTGGGCCTATGATGGCACCTTGTGGTACCCGACTGCTTACTTCTCTCCATGTAGACGCAGATCCATTAAGGACTACTCATTGGGTATGGTTTGTCAGCCAGTTATGAATCCATCTGGTGGTGATGCTACCTATCCCACTTTTTTCTAGCTTACCAAGAAGTAGGTTGTGGTCTACTTTGTTGAATGCCTTGCTGAAGTCTAAGTATATTATGTCCACAGTATTTCGCTGGTCTACTAATTTAGTCACTATGTTGAAGAATTAAATAAGATTGATTTGGCATGATCTGTTTTTAACAAACCAGTATTGATTGCTAGTAATTACTTTACTTGTTTCTAGATAGCAATAGCAATAGCACTTAGATTTATATACTGCTTCAAGTGCTTTACAGCCCTCTCTAAACTGTTTACAGAGTCAACATCTTCTTGCCCCCAACAATTTGGGTCCTTTTTTTTTTTTTGAAAAAAGTTTTTTATTTTTAAACAAAACTTAAAACAACCATCATCCATTACAATTACAGAAAGTGTATCGATAGGTTACAAATCTTTTGTGCTTAATCCCATATCCATATTCTCATTTATCAATTATTTAACAATGGCTTATCTCCCATAAAAAAACCCCGCTTTATATATTTTATTATTACATCCATTTCATATTTCATATTTCATTTCCATGCTTTATTAGTTGGTAAAATAAGTGCCATATCAAATAATATTGTTTATCTTCCTGTTCTCTAATTTCAAATGTCAATTTGCTCATTTCAGCACATTCCAAAATTTTCTTGATAACATCATCATCAGTAGGTATCTTCTCTCCTTTCCAGTTTTTAGCAAATACAATTCTAGCCGCTGTTAAGACATTCACAATTAAGTATCTCAGTCCTCTGTTATATGTTTCTGGTACAATCCCTAATAAAAATATCTCTGGTTTAAAATCAGTATGTTTCTTTATCATTTTTTCCAACCATGTCTGGATTTTGGTCCAATATCTTTTAGCTTCTGCACATGTCCACTACATATGGTAGTATGAACCCAGAGTCTGATGACACTTCCAACACTTCTCCGATTTGTTCTTGTACATTCTGGCTATTCTTGCCGGGGGTAGATACTGTAAAACATCTTATACAAATTCTCCTTATATGCTATTGACATTGTCATTTTATAATTCTGCAACCACAATTTCTGCCATTTCTCTAAATCAATCCCATGGCCAAAATTTTTCCCTCATGCAATCATTGTTTCTTTAACTTGTTCTTCTTCCAGTTTAACTTCTAATAAATAACCATATAATTTTTTGATAACATAGTCAACAGAACCTGTTAAAATTTTATCTAAATTCGTCAAATTACTGTAAAAACCCTCATTCTTAGAATCTTCATCATATCTAGACTGTATTTGCATATATGAAAACCAATCCATTTCTATCTCTTATTCTTCTAATTCCTGCTTCGATTTAAGTTCACCCTTTTCATTCAATAATTCACCATATCTAACAATTTGTTCCTTTCTAAATGTTATTGAGTGTGAGAATGCTTCAATAGAAGATAACCAGACTGGAATTTTTAAGTAATGGTATTTTTTGATCTTCTCCCAATTTAATAACAAAGACTCATATAATATGTCTTCTGAAATAACCCTGTGTTTTTGTACTTTTATACCATAAAAAAGCGTGCCAGCCCAACAACAAATCATGACCTTCTAAAGTCAACAATCTAATATTTCTTAACATTATCCATTCTTTAATCCACATCAATTTACATGCTTGGTAATATAGTTCCCAATCCGGTAAACCAAAGCCTCCTCTTTTTTTTTTTTTTTTTTTATTGTAAAAGTTTTACAATTACATTTTCACCCCATTTTCACCCCCCTAACCCACCCCAAACTCCCCATCCCATCCTCCCTAACCCCCCCTGACCCTCCCCTCCCCCCCGGACTTCCATAGAGTGTACCCCATCATTATCCCCTTTATATAAAAAAAAACCCTTGAACTTTAAACCCCCCCAACCCCCATATCATTTTTCATCTTCACATAGTTCAAATATTTCTATCTTAATGTAATATAATACTATCAATAAAAAGCTATTTGATACTTCCTAGTTTGATATTTGTTCTGCACATAATCTATCCATTTTTTCCATTCACATTCATAAGTCTCTTGTGAGCGGTCTTTTAAATATGCTGAAATCTTCGCCATCTCAGCGAAACTGGCCATCTTCAAAGTCCATTCTTGAACGGTGGGCAAAGCTACATTTTTCCAATATTTACCTATCAACAATCTCGCTGCTGTAATCATATACAAAATCAACTTTGTTTCATCCACTGTAAAACCCTTAGCTATACCCAATAAAAACAATTGTGGAGAAAATTGAATTTTTTTCTTCAAAACATTCTGCATAACCCACCAAATTTTTATCCAAAAAGCCTTAACTTTCTTACAGGTCCACCAAATATGAAAATATGTAGCATCTGTACAATCACACCTCCAACATTTTGGCTGAACATTAGGATACATACACGACAGTTTCTTAGGGTCTAGATGCCATCTATAAAACATTTTGTAAAAATTTTCCCTCAAATTCTGCGACTGTGTAAATTTAACATTCTGGACCCAAATTTTTTCCCATGTTTCCAACTTCACTGGTTCTTCAAAATTTTGTGCCCACTTAATCATACAGTCTTTAACTAATTCAGTTTCTGAATCCCTTTCTAGCAAAACATTATAAAGCCTTTTAATATGCATTGGACCTTTCTCTCTTATATGTCTAACCAATTCTTCCTCATGCAACATAATACCAATTTTTTGGTCCTCTTTCCATCTCAATTGTAATTGATTATATTGTAACCAAGTTAAATTAATCCCTTCGTCCAACAGTGTCTGCAAATTCTTCAGCTGCCATCTGCCCGCATCTGTAAAAAGAACCTCTTTGTATAAAAACCCCCCGAGTGACATTATATTTGTATTCCACAAAGTATGACCAAGATCCAACCATAGCGGTATTTTATAATCCCATTTGAGTCGGTGCTTCTTCCAAACTCTCATCAAAGAGTCTCTAAGTATATGACTTTTAAATATTTTATCAACTTTGTCATCATAAAATAAGTAAGCGTGCCATCCAAATTCAAGATCAAAACTTTCTGCATTCAATATTCCAGCCTTTTTACTTCCAAACCAATCACTTGTTAAAGTTAAAGCTGCTGCATCATAATATAACTGTAGGTTTGGAAGTTTAAGACCTCCTCTTTCTGGAACATCTTGCATAATTTTCAATTTCACTCTCGGCTTCTTCTCGTTCCAGACGAACTTATTCACTCCAAATTGCCAAACTTTCAATTGTTTATCACTTTTGAGCACCGGAATCATTTGAAACAAAAAAAGAAATCTTGGCAAAATATTCATCTTAACTGCTGCTATTCTTCCAAGTAGAGACAGCTGCAGTTTTTTCCAAGTCTCCATATCTTTCTGCACCTCTCGCCACAACACCTCATAATTATTTTGAAACAATTTCATGTTTGATTCTGCAACCTGAACTCCTAGATATTTTACCTTAGGTACAATCTCAAAACCTGCCCTCCTTTCAAGCTCATGTTTGCGATCTTGTGTCATGTTTTTAACTATCATTTTAGTCTTTTTTGGATTCAATCTGAAACCTGAAACTTTACCATAATCTTGTATAATGTCCTTCATCAAGATTATTGATTCCATTGGTTGTGATAGGGTAACAACCAGATCATCTGCAAATGCCTTTATTCTGTAATCCTCTTGCCTAATCTTTATACCTTTCAAGATATTAGAGTCCCGTATTGTATTTAACAAGACTTCTAGTGTTAAGATAAATAAAAGTGGGGACAACGGACATCCCTGTCTTGTTCCTTTTTCAATTTTAAACTCTGTTGTCAAACTTCCATTAATAATAATCTGTGCCTTTTGCTCTTGATAAATTGCCGAAATCGCCTGTATAAATTGGTCCCCAAAGTCCATCTTTTTCAAAGTCTTTACTAGAAAATTCCAATCCACTCTATCAAAGGCCTTCTCTGCATCCAAAAAAACCAGCACTGCAGGGATCTGTTTATTCTTCTCAAGATATTCCAGTAAATTTATTACTTGCCTTACATTATCCTTCATATATCTGCCCTCGATAAATCCCGCTTGATCATCATGAATCACCTCTTGAATAACCAAAGCCTCCTCTTGATCTAACATCTTGCAACAATTTTAATTTAATCCTCGCCTTTTTACCCTGCCAAATATATTTTAACACAATTTTGTTTAGATCTTCAAAATATTCTTTCCCCAACTTAATTGGAATTGTCTGGAACAAATATAAAATTCAAGGCAATATATTCATTTTTATAGTTGATATCCTCCCTATCAATGATAGTTGCAAATTCTCCCATTTTGCTAAATCTGTCACTATCTGTTGTTTAAGCTTATTATAATTATTCTCCTTAAGTGTACTGCATCTTGCTGTCAAATGCTTGCGGGCTGGCTTAACATATTTTTAAATATTTTAATTGGTTTGTCTTTTTAAATTGGGGCCAAATTAATATATATTCTTTTAATTGTTTTTAATGTTTGTATTGTATGTTTTTATCTGGCTGTACACTACCCTGAGTCCCTCGGGAGAAGGTCCGGTATATAAATTCAAAATAAAATAAATAAAATAAATGTATCCCCAAGTACTTAACCTTGTTCATGACCTGCATCCTTGATACTTCCGCCAACTCTTCTTTTTGTTTTTTTAACATATTTTTGTCAAAATCTTCGTTTTATCTTTATTTATTTTGAGGCCTGACACCTTACCAAATTCTCCTATTTTATCTATCAGTTTATTTATTGATTCAAGTGAATCTTCCAGAATAAACATCAGGTCATCTGCAAATGCTTGCAATTTATATTTTTGGTTTTGAATTTTCATTCCTTTTATTTTTTTTCTTCTCTAAAATTTCTATTTAGTACTTCTAGTGTTAACAGAAACAACAGTGGTGACAGTGGGCAACCTTGTCTCGTTCCTTTTTGTATTTCAATAAATTCTGTCAATTTATTTATTTATTTATTGGTTCAATTTATATGCTGCCCTTCTCTGGAGACTCAGGGCAGCTTACAATGCGTTAAGCAATATTTATTTATTTATTTATTATTTAAATTTTTATACCGCCCTTCTTCCAAGGGACTCAAGGCGGTGCACAGCCACAATAAAACACGTATATCCATAAAGTTTAAAAATAATTTAAAACATATTAAATAATTTGGCCCTATATTAAAAAACTAAAACACCCATTAAAATTCATTATTTAAGCAATACCTTTATACTTTTGTATATACCTGCTTAGTAGGGCTTTTGCCCCCCCCCCAAGTGGTGTTCTTTTTTATACAAAGTCAGCTTATTGCCCCCACAAACCGGGTCCTCATTTTACCTACCTCGAAAGGATGGAAGGCTGAGTCAACCTTGAGCCAGGTGAGATTCGAACTTGCAGTAATTGCAGGCAGCTGGTGTTACTTAACAGCACTTAGTCTGCTGTGCCACCAAGGCTCTTTTCTCCATTTATCATTACTTTTGCTATTTGTTTATGATATATAGCTTCTATGGCTTGAGTAAATTTCTCCCCAAAGCCCATCTGTTTCAATTGTAATATCATAAATCGCCAGTTCACATTGTTGAAGGCTTTCTGTGCATCTAAAAACATCAAAGTCATTTGCTTTTCCGGGTGTGCCTCATAGTATTCAAAAATTTATGTGAAGCCGCTGGGCGAGATCATCCGTGGTTTTGGGGTGGAGTTCCATCAGTATGCTGATGATACTCAGCTGTACATCTCCACCCCAGGCCATCCCAATGATGCCCTTGAAGTGATGTCCCGGTGCCTAGAGGCCGTGCGGGCAGGGCCGGATTTTCCTATAGGCTAACTAGGCTTCAGCCTAGGGCCTCAAGATCAAGAGGGG